ACCAAATAAGGTAATGCCGGGAGGCGACACAAAACAGACGACAGAGAGTGACGTCCCTCGCCCTCGTTATAGACACGACGCCTGCCTGCGTATAGTGATCCGACGATACTCCTTGTGGCAAGAGTCTGTTGCCGTAGCCGTGGAGTATCGTCGAACCGCCGTTGCGTCCGCGCGGCAAAAACACTCTATTGTTCTTGGCTTGGCAGCACGGCAGAGCTAGGCAAAGTATTGAGAAAGGGCCTTTTTTTAAGGCAGAGTGTTAAAATAATATGGGTAAGTTTGAGTACTGACCGCACACGAAGGAGATCAGTTGTCAAGTGGTTTTTCAGGTAGGCAGCAAGTACAAAAGTAACGATGTTGGTGCCAACCTATCCTTTTCAACAGTCGAGCGAGCCGCACGCGAACGCAGAGGTTAGGACATCTTGCCGAGACCGAGACCTCACCCGATAAACAAAAACAAGTGAGTCAATGACGAGCTGTGAAGGCTCAATCGCGAAATGTACCTTTGCGGTTACTTGTGGACCTTTCGGAAGACTTAACTCGAACACGTCAGTCAAAAACAAAGACGAGACACGCCGCTGCCCGGTCCGGTGCAGCTGGTCTCCATATTTCGTATAGCAAAGCGGGCCCCATTTTACTTCTCAAATCGCACTTTTTACTTAACCGACGGCGACCGACCTCTCATGTCCAGGAGAAAGATCGCCTGGCGGGGGCTAACGTCAGTGCCCCACATCTGAGCAGTACTGAGCTAGTGAGCCGCTGGAGCTTGCTGGAGCCTGTTCCGCACCCCGCAGCAGCTCCTCCGCGCCGACACCATCGTCACGCTACCAAGGGCCGCCAGACACCACAGCCACAGTCACAGTCTGGCCATGGAGTGCGAACTCTGCACCGAGCACTTCGATGGCGCCGAGCGGCTGCCCAAGTCCCTGCCGTGCGGGCACACGGCCTGCCTGCAGTGCATAGGGCGGTTGCCCGACATGAGCTGCCCGACGTGCCGCCAGGTGGGTGTCCTGGGGTTGTCCCTCTGCCCTCTGCAGCACCCGCCTCCCTGCCCTCCACTCAGCCTCACCTCTTTTCCCCGCAGGGCTTCAACGGCCCACCGGATGGCCTCCCCACCAACTTCATTGTAATCCAGTTCGTGGAGGGACGCAGACTGGACAGGTGAGCTCGGTCGCGCTGCGTAGGCGGAGTGTTCGGCAGCTTGGCAGCTTCATGGCCTGACTTGTGCCCCTAGCACTGCCCGCTCCTGGTGCTCGGATTGCCGCACCGCCGCCACGCCCCGCTGCTGGAAGGACCACGATGTCCTGTCCGTCAGGAGTGCCCTGAGGCGCCAGTTGCAGGGCGTCCTGCCGCAGACCGCCGAGCAGCTCCAGGGTCTTCAAGATCAGTGCCGAGACGAGCAGGTCATGCCCGCCCTCACCCTTTTGACGGGCGAGTCCTGGGACCTGTCGCTGCGGGGCGGTGGCCGCGAGCTGACGGGCACACTGCGGAACACCGAGGGGCCCCTCACCAAGGGACTGTGCCTCCTGTTGGCGGCGAGGGCAGCGCTCACCGAGGTACGCGATTTAGCAACATCTATCCAAGCATGCTTTCATAATTTGCATATTACTTAATTGTCTTCACGTCTATGTTTTCGTTGCTTTCCGAGTTTTGTCACCCCCCCCCCCTCGGCCGTGTAGCACTGTTAGCGCGGGACATACGAATCTCTCAGCTTCCATATTTTAACCGACTCTGAAAGTACAGTATTCCTGAGCAAAGATTGTGTCCCTTTCTGTAGCTCCTCGGATTATTTGAACGCACAGAAGCGCCGGGCTCACCAGGAATGTTTCCCTGCCCTGTACCTACAATTGACTGCACAGGACCAAGCTGGGGCCGGGGACCAACCACCTGCTGCAGTGCCCCCTACAGCGGCGCCCACCAGCGGCCAACCACCCGTCAAGGCGCGGCCTGTGCGGAGGGATGTGAGGCGTGTCAGCCGTTGTCCACTCGGCAACTTGAGGGCAGCAAAGGTCGCCGCCCTGCGGGACGCACCAGGGGTGAGTGAGAGGACCGACCACGAGGCTCACGGCCGGCGCAAGGCTGAGTGGGAGGGGCGGGGGAGCAAGGCGTGCCTGTGGACCGGAGCGGCGCTAGCCAGCAGACTGAGTCCGAAGAGACCTCAAGGGGCGCTGTCCTACGAGTGCGACAAGGACGGAGCTATACGGAAGGTGTAGGAGACGGTTTTTCGGAATCAGTCGACAGGTCGCCAGGTCCACCGCCCCTCGGCTCGGACTGCAGCCGCCGGTCTCGTGTCCGGCCGCCCTGAGTGACCCTGTCCTGTCGCAGGTAACGCGGCTGGTCGGAGTGTACTGCAACCCGGACTCCGGCTGGAGCCTCGAGCTGCTGCAGCGCGCTGCGCCCTCCGTGGAGCAGCTGAGTCTGTACAAACCCCGTGAGGCCCACCTGCGCCTGCTGCACACCATGCCGCGGCTCAGGAGGCTGTACGTGTGGTCCGGCTATGATACCATTCTGGACGAGGGGCCCCCCGTGCTGCCCGCGCTCCCGCCAGGACATGCCGGCCTGCAGTGGCTAGGTGTGTGTCGCCTCCACGGCGCCACCCTGCAGTCCTTGCTGTATGCGCACAGCCACACGCTGGAGGAGCTGCAGCTGACGCTGGGCACGGGACAGACCACGGGGTGGCCGTGGCCATGGAACTGCAACGACCTGCCCTCGATGCTCGAGCCGTGCGGCCTGCGGGCGCTGCGGACGCTCGTGCTGGATCGTGACTGCGACGGTGAATACCACGAGGAAGGCCAGTGCAACGAGCAGCGCGCTCAGGTGCGGCGGGTGCTGCCCGTGGCCGATGTGCAGTGCACCTCTTGTGACCGTGTGGCGGCGGAACACTTCTAGTGGCGGCAAGCAACGCCACCCAGTAACTCGAGCGCACCCCTGCCGCGTGCCACGAGTGCCTGGAGGAAGTGGGCAGAGAAACAATACCAGCAAAATTGGAATTGTTTGTACCATCAAAAGAAAACAAGCGTGCTGCAAGAAATATATGTGCCACTACACGTTGAAATTTCCGGAAAGCGTATTACGGGTCAATCCATCTCTGTCACCCAAACTGCCATACTTATTGAGGAAGACCGTGATTAGTAGTAGCCGTGCTAGCATGGTTGGGCATGATCAGTTATTGGTCAGCTTGCTGTCCCCGCCCCGCAGCGACCGGCACGTCCCAGGACTCGCCCGTTCGCCCGTCTACAGACCCTGGAGTATCACTA